TAAATCCCTATCATTCGATAGTCAATAAATTAATGGATGGCCAGTTTACAGACTTCTGGAAATTGAAATGTTCTTCTATTAAAAATTGTCCGAATTGAGAAAGAAGTGATAGTTAGGAGGTGAGAGAGGTCTGGTTAATATGGATAATAAAGAATAAGTTCTAATTCATACTTCTTTAGTTTACATTCTTTGTGCATGACATTCTAGTATTGTCATAAAATACGCTAGGCGTTGAACTGTTGTTATGCTGTTTCACCAGACTCAACGGTGACCTTCTCTTCATTATTATTTACTATCTGTTCAAGGCAACAAAATGGGTCATGTGTTAGGTCAAAATTGCTTATACGAAATTCTGGGATCCAATTTGATACAGTCAGTAACGTAATCACACAAGAGCCAAATATATTTAAAATTATGCACTAACTGCGATACCGTAATTCAGCGTAAAAACTCATACTTCATTACAGTGGAAATTACTGACCATTCCATTTTCAACAAAATTAATTTTAAAAAATTCTTCTTAATGTATCTTAGAGTTTAAAAATGTTTTTTTTTGAACAAGAAAAGTGTGTCATTTTTTACCGATGTACAAAAAAAATAGAAAGGTGAATGGAATTATGCTAATAAATAGTTATAAAAGCTAAAAATAATAAATTTAATAAATGGAATTAAAATAAAAATAGCCAAATAAGCTTAAAGTAATAGAATTAATAAATAGAATTAATCTAAAATAGCTACATAAGCTAAGAAATAATAGAATTAGTAAGTAGAATTAGCTAAAAATATAATTAAGCTAACTTCAAATAATGAACTGCTATATTTTGCAACATCACTAACTGCAAATTTCATCCTCAACGACCTAATACTACATACATTCAACAGCGTTATTTCTTCCATTAGTCAGTGATTGCTTTTAATTTGAAGCTTCTTTTTTAAACAAAACTGAATAAAAAACATTTAAAAAAAACATATTAATATTTTAAAGCTAGCGAAAAAGACCTCAATGTGAAAGGTAGAAGTAAGCAAAATTCCCTATGAAAATCGCACCTCATAAGTGAGTTGAATGCATAGATACATCATCATGAAACAAAACTAAGAGTTTGAAAAAGCATATTATTTCGTGAAATCAAGTGCCTCTAATGATAGTTCGAATCAAAGGAGTGGCATTTTATCATCATCGAAATACTTTTAGTTGATGGATGCGTTCTCTTAATTACAGGAGAAGTTGAAGAAGAGCAAATATGTAGAAATAGTGGGGATGGTTTCAATAGATAGTTATCTATCCCCTATTTGCCTTCACCTAAAACGCTCTGACTGCACCCATTTGTATCAGTATGCATCAGAGAGATTTTGATTGAGCGATGATTGAAAGCCATGAATTGCAATGGCGTGGATTCTACAATTAAAAATATTTTGCGAATAGTTTAGCCATTTGTTTTCATAAAGAGATTTACTTATTGGAAAGAGGGATTGCGCTCGTTATTGCTTGAATTTGTTTCGAAACTATCTAAGGATTTCATTGGACCTGCGTTATTCATCATACCATTTCAAATTTTGTGTAATTTATGTACACCTAGCAAGTTACCGAGTGTCCGAAAACTTATCAAATTAACTATGATTGCATTCTATAGTCACTCTGTGGAACTGGGTTATTCATTTTACCATTTCAACTTTTTGTATAATTCAATAAATATTTATATACACACCTACTAAGTTATCGAGAGACCAAAAATTCATCGATAATTTTAAAAATTAATTAACAAAAAAATCAGAAGGAAAGAAAAATGAGTGATTTGCAGCGTTTTTCTTTCTAAGCCGGAGAAATTTTTTTTTACCTAATTTCAAATAAGGTAGCTAACGGATGGCGCTGCTGATTGTAAGATTTTAAAATTGCGTTTTTTTGCTGTATAGATAATTGCACTTAAATTATTTGTACGAGTGTTTGCTAAATTTATCCTCAGATCGCACTACGTTGTGCCGCAAAGGATGGCTATTTTAAAAATATTGTTTGTTTGAGAAGAAGCATTTTTATTGACTGACTTTGTATCTATTTTTTTTTCCATTTATATCCGTTTTATTTCAAATTTTGTTAAAATCGTCTGTCACTTTTAAAATATTTGATAACTTCCGCAATATTTTTCCATTGTGAAACCTGACAAAAAAGGTTTGACAAGACAAAAATAAAAAGGGTCTTAAAAAAAAGTAGGGTAGCAAATTGAAATGTTGAAAATGTTGAGCTCAACTTTACAATAATATGATTACGCGACAGGCAACGAATTTTGTTCCAAGATTGAATTCAAAGTAGATATTCAGAGAGACCAGTGTAATTAATCAGTGAAAATTTTTGAGTGACATATTTTTAGAGTTTACTAAATGATGGAAAATTATGTCTAGAGAATTTGTTATAATCATGAACTATAGTATAAATATCGACAACCGAAAGTAATTAAATCGTAAAAGATTAATTGTCGGAACATGTCTAACGAAGTGAAAATTAAAATCCCACCAAAAAACTATCACTTTCAAAAATTAGGGGGGTAAAAGACGTTGACCAAACAAAAGATGGTTGAACTACGTCTAGAAAGATCTAGAACAAATTAACAAAGCCTTGTCCTATGCTAATCTGATACGCTATCTATACTGATTAGCAGAAGCAGAGGATACAAACTTATATCAGAAATATCGAAAATAATATTCCTTATCACTAAATCTTTATATCCCAGTTGCGGTGTCTTAGGGGATAGAGCTCTCACCTCCGAGGTGATATGGCTTCGAATCCTAAAGATCGATGGTCAAAACGAGTTCCACACCAGCCTCACACAGACCACAGTACTGAAGTAAGATATTCTCAGTGGTAGAAGGATAGGATCATGGGTTAGAGTCCCCTTTCCGTCAGATTAATCGCGAGAGGTTTTTGTGATTTTCATCCTCCATGTAACGCATGCTGGCCATAGTCCCATCAAAAAGTCCTCCACGAAGGCACATTTCTTTCAATACTTGATCCAGGAGTTCCCTTGTCTTCAGGATTGGGTTCAAAATTACAAGGTTGAACATTAGTAGTTTTAAACTCAAAATTGGATCGGCTTTTCAATGACGGAGATAGATAAATAAATCTTTATATCCGCTGATTGTTTGAATATATTTTTATTTTTAATGGTTAGAACAATGTGTAAAAAAGTTACAAAGTGTCGTAATTTCACTCAAGTTATGAAGCTTTAACACCAATCGAGCATTTTGTTACGATTTTTAAATAAAATTAAAATAACTCGAAATATTATTTTAAAAATCAAAAATTTTCTCAAGACAATAATATTTCTCTATGAAGAAGTTATAAATATATAAGAGCAAAATTCTTAATTCTCTCTTATTTTTTAAAAAATTTAAACTTTGTAGTTTTGCAGTCTTTGATTTCTTAATTTTAAATTTCCAGAACTCAGTTTAATATGTTTAGAAAAATATTTTAATTAAATATGAATATCGTATAGTGGGGATAGGTCTAAAAACTTTTACTTGTAAATTGGAATGATCCCATTATACATCATAATACGGTTTAAACTTACAACATGTTTCAATTATTCTGTTATATTCAAACACATTATAGTATAATTAAAAGGACAAGAAGTGGTGCTGTCGCAATAATATGGTGCAACGTATCACATTACTGTTGCTTACTTAAAATGCAAATTTGCATTTATTTAAATTATTTTTAAAAGTATTAGTGCCCAGGCAATGATAAACATCAAAACTTAAAATTGTATTAAAGTATTCACCAATTAAAATTCAACACTTGTATACCAAAATTTTGTGCTTGATATTTTAAATAGTCATTAAATAATCCTAACACCTACTAGTGGCGTTCGCCAAAACAATGCGTGTCGTGTGTTTGAGTTATAACTTTTGCAGTTCCTTTAAGATTGCTTTGCTATTAAAGTTCCGATCTCACGCATTTGACGCATATTTATTTTAGTCCAGCTTTGTATGCTTGTAAATACTTTTAAAATGAAGTTCTAAAAATATACCTTTTATACACCTTGTGAAACCGTCTATTTGTAAACATTTCAGTCAATTTATACACATTGTGATATGATTTATATATATTTTTAATTATTATAAGCATCATTGAAAGTAAAATATAGCTCTTAATTATTATGTTACTTGCATAAATTAATAATCATTATTAAATATAGACCAGCTTGTTTGTTTGTATGAATAGTTCACTTCTAATCATTCGATTCTACCCGAATCATAGCTGAGTTAATCGCAGGTTTTCATTGCAAATTCAAAAGAAAAAATATCATAGGTTTTGCGACAATATAGGCATCAGTGTTTTGCAATGTACTAGGGGAGGCAACTCCTTGCTCGGCAAGATTGTGGAAAAGAATGGTCTGTACTATTCAGTTATGCAAAGCAAAAATGAAACTGAGATGGTCCTGATGACTATAACTTGTATTGGCATGACTTTAGAAAAGAGCCAGGACGTAAGAGCAGGTAGCAAGGAGGCAAATTCTTAATGATTTGGAGAGCATTTGGATTTAATAGGCACATATTTATTCAGTTTCTAAAAGAAAGATAAACATCTGAAATGTATCGAGACAAATTGAAACAACATATGCCCACTTTTCAATACCTCCTGAGAGGAAGTAATCGTATGTTTCAACAAAAGAGTGCCTCAATACATTCTCCACGTTCGACAAAGAATCGGCTTTCTCAACAAAATGTTCAGGTATTAGATTGGCCAACTTTATTCATACAATTGAAACTGTCATAATGTCATGCAAATTTAGCAGAACCTAAATATAAAAGCTAATTGATCCATATTGAAAACAACATAGCCTTTCGATGTTCTTGATAAAGAACAACATACACAGAACCACTTTTAAACCTCAATAACAATTAAGCATATAATTTTAATTATAAATATTGTGGCATTTATACTTAAACCACGTATTGATCAACTTAAACGTGAAATTGGTTATATTTATAATAAAGAAGATGCTTACCTGAAATCCATAACGAACTGCAGACAATTGGGCATGATGATATGAGTCAGAAAGGGGAACTCCAGAGCTCCGACCACCATGATGATCACCAGAAGATGTCCAGGTATTAGGATTGCTTGTTCCTGGTAACTGACCACCTTGATGAAATGCCACCATTGGTCGCGAATTTGGTATGAACATTGAACTGGGATGGTGCAAGTAACCATCTTGGTACGCGGGCATATGAATGGACGACATGTTCTGGAACATAGTGGTTCCTGTTGCCCACTCTGTTTTAGGATAGTTTACACCCAGCGTCATTCACGAAGAATGTATTAATCTTTCACTTAGAATCAATTTTCAATGTTACTCCTCAAAATGTTACTGATTCTGATCTTGACACAAATTTTTTGTTTTGATGAAAGTTGTAAATTCCTGATATATTAGAAAAGGTAACTAATATATATATCATTTGTTTAAATTGTACTACAGTAGTTCACACAAGTTTTTAACAAATTAAAAAGTAACTGATGTAGTTCTTTATATAAATTTACGTTTCGTGAAATGGCGAAACTTATATTGCACTTTTGTTGAAGAGAAGAACACCCTATCACAATATATTCAACATAAATAATCAACCAAATTAATCCGCGGACTTACTAAATCAGTTACAATTAAAAGGTAAATGATTCAGTTTTTTATGTGAATGTTTCGTTTCATTAAATGGAGAAAATTCTATAATATTGCATTCAAAGACCACTTTTAAATTGGCGTTAATATTCCATAAGCGTTTTAAAACCATATAGACGAATTCAAGCAGCTTTTTAATAAAAATGCTGACAAAGTTCAAATAATCATGACGAGAAAGTCCAGTATGTTCAAAAGAAACAACATTCATAAATGCTTTAGTTTGTGGCTTTATTTTTTTAATTTTTGTTCAGATATTTATCTAGAAATGTTCAATATAATAAAACGAGTTATTCAGATTCTGTTTCTTAAAAGGTTTTTATTTATTGTTTTAAATTAAAATACATAAAGAAGCCAAGAATAATTTAGAATGCAACTGTCGAGTCTGCAAGATAATTTATGAACAAAATATTGAATTCTTTATTCAAAACACAGAGTTTTGTTTTCCCCTTTCACTGCAGATGAAATATCATTAATTGCAATATTTGAATTTAAAACTACAATTAGAAAATAGGTGACATAGTTATTTCTTTGACACAGCGTTCGACCAAATGGAATCTGAAGCCTTATTATGTTGATACTTGAGAAACGCTCTTTTTAAACAAATTCCATGATGTCATGAAAAAAAATAAACTTAACGAGAAACACAGGATGTTCACTATCAACCAACAAGAATGTTACAAGCAGAAATAATGGAGTGCCGAAAAGGTTTAGTGTCACATATCAGTTTCATCAAAAATACTTTTAAACACGCTGTAGATATCCAGTTACGATGTCTCCGAGTATCAACGTACCATAAGACCATTTTGCATACCGGCTAACAGCCATTTCTCATCAAAAAGGGAGGATTATTTATGATTTATTAACATCAGTAATAATCTCCTACATTGTTCCATCGATAAGAAACTTCGCCAAAAAAGTTCCTCCTTAGCTCAACAAAAGAAATTAACCAACCGACTACTATTACTTTGAGAGAATCCAGAAGCCACAGAAATTGGACAGACTCTCTGCATTCAAATACATATTTTGTCATGCACTGCCGACTGGATGATCTATGATTCTATTGGCAGCTTCTCAGAGACCCGTAATGGCGACAAAAGGCATTCTGGTCACGTGCTAAAGTCACGCGTGAATTGCAAAAGAAGCCGCAGTACAGCTTGGTCTGTTCTTCTTCTCCTACTTTCCGAGATTTCAATTCTTGAATCAGATTAACGGCTTTCGGACATTTTAATATTCCTTAAACCAGATCATTCTGAAGTGAGATCCTGTAAAAGAAATTGAAATTTAGAGATATATACCATTGAATTACACAGTTTAATCAGATGAATAGGCTAAATTCTATAAAATTTTATCAAAGATAATTTTTATTGAATATTTGATTAAAATTTTTCTTCTTTAATTTCTTCCCTACATTTATTTTTTTTTTACTTCCATTGCGTATCTTCAATTGTTAAATAGTTTTTATTTTGTTAAAATTCTGGACTCAACACCGAAAATATTATTAATTATACTTTGTCGTAATTTAGTTATGCTGTTTAAAATCGAAAGCTTATTTTAAATATAGAAAAACTGTTGCTATTGTACATTTTTGGCTGGATTATAATATAAAGATTTCCCAAATGAAAATAGGAAACAAGTGATAACTTTAGAAATACAGAAAAGGTAGTACGCGACCATTAAATGTTAGAAAAGAAGATAAAAAGGAGCATACCGCAGACTGCATGGAACTAAATAACTAGTTCACATAAAAGTAAATTTAATAAAAGTAAAAGTAAAATTAAAAGTAAATTTAAAAATGCCTAAAAATTAGAAGAGTAAATTAAATAGTTCTATTAACCCCTTAAGGATTAGTTAATTTTCAAGAAAACGGTCATAAAAGTGCCTATTTTTTCACATATCAAAAATACACGTATTTGATTAGTGCTGACATCTAGTTTAAAATTAACTAACTATCTACAGTTACCTTAAAAATATCCTGGTACTGCCATCTGGTGTGAAAAATTAGAAATAAAATAGTTTCCGGACGAAAGAAATGAATTAGTTTTATTATTATTGGTGCGTTACTACTGAACGCTCCAGCCCGGAAATATCACGGGAGCGAGAAATAGAGGGCGAAACCTCACCCCGTCATTCTCACGGGAGCGAGGAGGAAGGGGTTAATAAAAGTCCCAAAACAGAACAAAGCGACACAATATGGTTTTTAGTGGTTGAAGACATCATTGTATCATTCCTTAAACATATCAGAAAAATATTTGTAAAGGTATTCCGAGCCATAATTCATAGATTACATTAAATCTTATCCTTAACAGCAGGAGTGAATTCACTGGAGATTATGGTGTTTGCTTGCTCCAAATGATTATGATAATGATAATGATGTATGTCGTTTATAAAAACTTGAAATACTTATACACCATTTGTTCATAGCTGATTAACCTAGATAGTATTTGCCATAAACAGCAATGATTCAACGAAGATACCCGCATTACTTTCACTTTCTGCCTCTAAAAATCGCTCGACTGTACGATTTACTTTACGTTCACTTTAAATGCTCTCATGCGAATTAGTTATTGGTTATACTTAGACATCGGTGCACTCTTCTTACATTAATTTAAAACACAGAAGATTCGTGCTGTTATCATAAATATATTTCTGACTCTATAACGCGTGTCCACTTTTCATTTTGGGCAACCCTTATACTAATAGTCACAAATGTATGTCACAAAGTAGTTTCGCAATACTGACTATGCGTGTTTTAAAATATATTTTAGGGTCTTTGTAGAAAATAAGCTTGCTAATTCATAGATCAGATGAACCCACAACACTATGGAAATGTGTTTACCGGTGTATGAACAACCAATAGAACATTTCGAAGGCATGGGTAGCATGTAACTATTTACGAACTCAGAACTCTCTGGCATACCGGTACAGAGGACACAATAATAACGAATATGCAACCATCTAGCCCTAGACTAGGGATTAAGGCTCTCTTTGAATCCAAAGGATATCTAAAATTCATAAACTGATGTTAACATTATTACTAAAAAATACTGGTCATGGGGACTCAAGGGATAGGCCGCTTGTTTTCCAATGAGGTGGCCCGGATTCGAATCTCAGCGATGGCCAGTCGATACGAATTCCACAACCAGCTTACACCGACCACGGTGCTGACGTGAAATATAATCAGAGGTAGACAAATGATAGGTTAGAGTCCCCTTGCTAGCAGGATAACCGCGTGGGAGGTTTTAGAGGTTTTCCTCTCCATGTAATGTAAATGCGGTTAGTTGCATCATAAAATCCTAAACGAAAGTGAATTTTTCCCAATACTTGATACGAATTTACAGGGTTACGGAGTTGAACATTGGTAGTCGTAAACTCAAAATTCAAAATCGGGTTGGCTGGTTAATGACGGTTTTATATATGAAAAAATATAAATACACTCGTCTCTTCTAAGCAAGCTTTTAAAGAGAATAATTTTTAAAGCCGAAAGTATGGAGCTGTAAATATAGAGCTCGATGCACTTGTATTCCGTTGACTTGAAAACCTTGTAAATGCAGCACAGTTTGCTTTGTTAGATTGTGAAGTTAAGAGTTTTATCAAAGTTTATTCGATCTTATAATCTTTTAAAATTCTTTTTATTCAACTTTAACCTGTGTCAGATTTGAATTATTTTGCACTCTAAATTTATTTATATCTTTATTGTCGAGGTCAAATATAATTATTTAAGGTGACAAGGGACTTTCAAAGAAGCAAAAATTTGTCAAAAAATCGATATTTTACATTTTATATTTCTGAAATCTTGGCATTTAACTGAACATTAAAAAAAAAAATTCTGGAATAAGAGCAAAACTGATGAAGTTATGACCATTTCAGTTTTGACCACACCCCTTTGTTTACCTTTTTTTGAATGCAGCTAACTGTTAAAATTAGTTTAGTTTAAAATTAATTTTAAATTAGTTAAATATTTTGTTAATTTTTTTAAAGAAATTTAAAGTATATAATTATTAAACTATTTCATTAGACAATATTTATAGGTATTTATATTAAAAACAAGAAATATTTGTTCAGAAGTAAAATTTGCAATGAAAAAGTAGTAAATGTCATTTTTCTCAAAATGTCTTTTTTGACAAATTTACAAATTTCAAACTGTTCCAGCGTAATGAATTTTCGTTCTATTGACCTGAGAATTTAATGCTATATATTGATGAATATTATTAACATTTTGTTGGATAAGTTTTTTGAATTAAGTGAATAGAATTTTTTTATACATGATATTTTATAGAGGTATGATGATTTTTTACTAAAAATGTAGGTTTTTTACTGTTTTTTTAATGTTATTTGTTTCTATAATAAAAAATGAAAAAAATACTCCCAACAATTTTTTCAATATTACCTAATATGTAATACAGTGAAACCTCTCGGTAAGGGCCACCTGTCCTTCCATTGAAAATTGGCCCTTATGGTGGCCCTTAAATGGGGGTGACCAAAAAATAAAATGAGGAAATCAAAATTTATGTAGAAAAAAACTGTTTATTAACATTTTAAGTTTTTATACATGTTTAAGAAATTTTTCAACTGAAGTTTGTTTACTTTTTGCAATTTTTTCGCAAACAATTTTAGTTTCTAATGATTCCTTAACTCTATAAAACAAATTAGTTAAAATCGCATCACTTATTAATGCCTTGGATTGGGATATCAGTTTATTTACTTCTATTAGCGTTTCTTGGTTTGATAAATAAGGCACGGGGGACTCATGGGACGGGGGAAAAATGGCCTTTATTGGAGGTAGTCAGGAAAATGTGGCCCTCTAATTGGAGGAAAATTAACATTATGTCTATGGGGAAAATTTTCGTTCCTCAAAATATTGGCCCTTAATAGAGGTGGTCCTTAAGTAGAGGTGGCCTTTAGGAGAAGTTTCACGTATTTTAAAAGAATTTTGTCATTTTGACAAAATTTCAGACGCGAGGAGTAATATAAAAAAACATAAAAAATTCAAAAATTTTAATTTTTTAATTTCTTAAATTTTGAAATATTTCTTTGAAATTTTGTATAAGAGTTGTTTTTAACAATATAAATGTATTCTGAAAATTTCAAGCCAATCCCTTCATAATTTCAAAAAAAAAAATTTTGAAAGCCCCTTGTCGCCTTAAATGTATAAAGAAAATATTGCAACTAACGAAACTTAATAAGATGTCCATTTATTTGACAAATAAAATGGACATCTAATAGATGACACGATTAAAATAGGAATAAAATTAATATTTTTTATTCGTTAGGATAAATGTAAGTAAAGTCGCTTAAGTACTTAAAACTTCAGAGCTAGTTTCAAATGAGATTTAAAGTTGAGGACTCTTTGTCTCCTTATTCACGGATTACGGATTATTCACGGATTTATTGCTCAATTGATATCCGTTCATATTCTGAATTTGTTTATTCAACCAGAAATGGATTTTAATTCGAAAGTTACAAAACAATATTATGCTGAAAACAATTTTCATTTCAACGTATTAACATTAGCAGATATATAAAGTATTCTTGGCAATTTAAGTGAAAATTTAACAAAACAGGTCAAGGGCAAATTCCTGCAAGTCAAAAAATATTTTTTGGGTGACAATTCAGTTAAAACCAAAAGGAGATATTTATAAAAATTCCATGAGCCGAAGATAATTGTGAGTTGAAACAATTTCGATTTCTTTCAAACGCATTTCCCCTCATGATATAGTAGATTGGGAGTTACAAAAAAATATCGGTTCTTCCTGATCGAGTTTTAAGAAAAGAACATTTTGAATTATGCAAACATAAATGTGTATTCTAAATAAAGCAACAATAGTTAATAAAGAACTAAAAATTTTTAAAATTTAATTAAAATTTTAAAAATCTAAAACTTATTTCAACATTTTTTTAACCAATAAATACGTCGAATCAATTTATTTATTTATTTAAGGGAGCTTCAATTATATAACTTTAGGAAATTCAATCAGATGTAGTTCATATATTAGAGTGTTTTGTAAAATGTAGTAATTTAAACTCAATGCTAATTGAAATGAAAAAAAAAGTTGCGCGCTAAAAAACAAGGCTAAAGTTAAAGGATGAAAGGTACTGATTCTCTTATGTGAAACTTCACCGTAAAACTTCACTATACTATTATCATAGCCAATGAGGCTTAATTAATTTTGGCAATTAATACAGCTGGTATTATGGTAAATGGTGCTGTATTTAATAAGTATCAAATAAACTAACAGGGGCACTACTGCTAGAACTCTGATAA